GTTAAAGAAAGCAACCCAATGCTGGATCTGTTTTGGCAGAAGCTGGGCCAGTGATTAAAACAAGAAGGCATGGGTCTCCAGGTGACCGTTTGCTCAGCTCTGAGATCTGAGAGGTAGCTGGGCATTTATTCAAGGATAAAATGCGTGCCCTCACATAAAACTGAAACCAGAAGTTTTCTTTTTAGGTTTGATGGATAAAAAGCTTGAAACAAAATTTGGAACCTTGTTACTATATATGTTGACAGCAGCAAGAATCTGATATGGACAAAGATGGAAAAAGACACATTAATTCCCACCATCGAAGAACAGATGGTAAAAGGGATGTAGCCGGTGAAGATGGCAAAATAGACTGCTTTAGTTCAAGATAAGAACCTATCTAGTTTTGTTTCCCCTTGGAAATTGCTTCTTGACTTTGTGCTCGAAACTGGAGAGGGGGGAATGAAACTTTTGAGTTTAGATTTGGTTTTTAGAATGATTTTGTTATTATAGAAATGGCTTTAAATGTTTAGAAATGTAAAGCAAAAAGTTGAGGCTTTAACCTTTTTCTTGTATTCTTCTGCACTGAAAAAAAAAATCAGTAGTCACTACTTTCTCTTCCTTTCCTCTCTTCTTTTCTCTTTAACTTTCCTGATTTTTGTTTTCTATTTGTATTTTATTTTACAATGAACTCTAGTAAAATCTTTTTTAAAAGGATTAAAAGGCATGCTCTATGTAGCAGGGAGAGGACACTGAGCTATTTAAAATTCAGCCCCTCTTTAGTAGCAAAAAATCATCTGCTCCACACCATATGACTTTTGTGGGGGGAAAAAATCATATTGCATATAGAAGAGTGTATAGAAGGGCTGTCAATTTACAGTTTAAATAGGGCTCTTATGCATGGTCAAAATTGGGTAACGAGAGATTTCTTATATGTGTTCTGAATTATGTCTAACATATACCAAGGTGGGGGGGGGGGCAATCATATTCTTTTGCTCCAGCCAGCTTTCTTGGGGAGGAAATGAGAAAACTATTCACACTTTTAAACACAAACAAATGTAGTCAAATAGGTTGTTTGCAAAAATGAGACTTAAAACTGAAAGTGTGTGTAAAGTAAAACTTACAAAGAATAGAACATTTATTTGGGTGACACCGTGGGTGTTTATTACTTCAACACTGTCAGTATGTAGGCTTCTATAGAAAATACAAACATACATTTTATCCTACCCTGTAGGGTATGACAAGAAACAATAGGTGGAAGCTCATTATAGAGAGATCCAACCTGGAACGAAGGAGAAATTTCCTGACAATTAATCAATGAAACAGCTTGCCTTCCAAAGTTGTGGGTGCTCCATCACTGAAGATTTTCAAGAAAGGATTGACCATCTGTTTGTTCGAGATGGTATAATGTCTTGGGATGTGGGTCCCTTCCACCCAGTGGTGGGATTCAAATTTTTTTACTACCGGTTCTGTGGGCATGGCTTGGTGGGTGTGGTGTGGCTTGGTGGGTGTGGCTTGGTGGGTGTGGCAGGGGAAGGATACTGTAAAATCTCCATTCCCTTCTCACCCCACTAACCTGCTTTCCAGCTCCATTCTCCTGTGCAGGACAACAAAAGAAGACCCAGCCAATCAGCTGGGGCTCGGGAGGCAGAGAATAGATGGGGGTGGGGCCAGTCAGAGGTGGTATTTGCCAGTTCTCCGAACTACTCAAAATTTCCACTACTGGTTCTCCAGAACTGGTACTCCAGAACCTGGTTCTCCAGAACCTGCTGAATACCACCTCTGCTTCCAAGTCTATGATTCTATTCCATTCCATTCCAGTCCAGTCTATCCTATCCTATCCTATCCTATCCTAAGAATACTTTGAATCTTCCAATGTAGATTACAGTTCTCTGTGAAAGTATTCAATATCGAGTATCCAAATGGATTTAGAAAAGGCCAAAAATTAAGAGGAAGGATTGCTGATGCATGCTGGGTAATTGAGAAAGCAAAGAACATCAACAAGAAGGCAATATGTACTTCATTAACCATAGCAAGGCCCTTGATTGTGCTCATGATGCCAAGCTATGGAATGTCTTGGAAAAACAGAACATCTCAGTGATCTCATGAGAAACAAACAGGACATAAAAACACAATCCAAATGGAAACATGGCCCATTCCAGATTGACAAAGGAATAAAACAAGCCTGTACTCTTTCCTTACTTGTTCAGCCTATGTGTAGAATATATATTGACAGAGGCTGGATTGGAAGAAGATGGGTTGGTTTTTAAAACTGATGACATGTAAGAAAATCAATAGTTAATTTAAAAAATGATAGGCACCTTTGCTTTCAAGGGGGTGGGCTTGGAGGGTGGGGAAGTTTGAATTGATATTCTCCATGAATAATTCTAAACAATTTGAAACACAGAGCAAAAGCCTTTATTCTGTTTGCACTTGGTCCAACACTTCAAGTTTTTAATGACACCCTTCTGTTCCTGCTGCTTCTGACTTAAGATCTCTCTCTCTCTCTCTCTCTCTTCAATAAAGAGTTTAGTTTTCCTTTGTGGTTAGCGTCACGCACAATCTCATCAAGCAGAATCTCATCAAAAGCCACTTCAAAGACTATCGCCCTCCCCTTTTTCTTACAACTGTAACATCATCTCTTATATTTTGGCAGAGCTAGGATGCCATGGAAAATATCTGTGGATGGCGGGGAGGGAACAATGCATTATAGAAGGAGAGGCATAGAGTAACATTCATGCCAATTATCTGTGACTGCAAGGCATTTCAAGGCCCAGGAGTGGTGGACAGGACTCCAGGAGAGCAACCAGAAGCCAGAGGCATTTCTGCTCCTAGTAGTAAAATTACAGCACATGGAGCCCTGGGCTTTACAATGTCAAGATTACCATATTTGGCATAGGAGCAACTGTTACGAAATGGCAGCTATTTCTTAGTTTATATTTAAACACGCACATGTATACAGAGAGTAAATCGCAGAAATTAAATGGATTCCATTTTACTTCGGCTAACTCTCCTTTAGCCTTCAGTATGGAATTTAGCCTTCTGCTGAAATTAATGTAGCAAATAGCATCCTTGTGTATATAAACCTTGAGTTCCCCAAGATCCCTTCTGATGAAGTATGTTTATGATTCTACAAAAATTACAAAATCCCTCCCCTGGCCCCATAACAGGCAAAGATGGGCATCCTTCAGAAAATGTTTCATTGTTTTAATTGTTGATAGGTTCTGTCAACACATGGGGAATAGGCCCGTATTCTTTGCAGTAACATCCACCCACCACAGTCCTTGATTCCCCAACATGCCTTGCTTCTCCTCTGTCATCCAAAAGTTGTAGCCTTCTGATTTAACAGAAGCATTTTTCTAGTTCAGAGGAGTAATTACTGCCAGTATTATAGTTACATGAATTGATCTTTGCACCTATAGAGATTCAACCAGGGCTGGACTGCTGGGGGTTCGCAGGGGTTCGGGACAGCCCCTAGCTAAGATTCTGGGCAGTTCAGAGAACCCCCAAATCCCACTCCTGGCTGGCCTCACCCACTCTGCCCCTCCCCTCCTAGGAGTCCCCACGCGGCCTGTTTGGATGCAGGTAAGTGCAGGATGCACGCAGAGGCTCGGGGAGGGCAAAAAACAGGCCTTCCAGAAGTTCGGGAAGCCTCGAAATGAACACGTTTCCTGCTTCCAGAGAGCCTCCGGAGCCCGGGGAGGCCGTTTTCACTCTTCTAGGGGCTGGAGGAAAGCCTCCAGAGTCCAGGGAGGACAAAAATGCCCCCCCCCCTTCGCTGTGGTGCAGGAGGCCAACTGGGCCACACCCACCATGGCCACATCCACCCAGCAACCAGGTAGAGAACCCATTGCTAAAATTTTTGAAGCCAACCCCTGGATTCAACCAAGATGTTTTCAGGGACCGCCACTGTGGTTGCTACTGCACACTTGCTCCTCCTCTCACTGAACTCATCTACAATATTTTGCAGAGAAAGCCATGCAAAAAGAACTAATGAAAACCCCCCCAAATAGCTTTCATTTTGTTTCAAATCTTCCTCCCCACAAAAACATTGAAAAAAAAATCTCGTAATTCAGGCACAGCCCTGCCTATTTTACATCACTACACAACTCAAGATGGCGCATAGACTTCCTCCAAATGGGAAATGTGGCCTCTGGCCACCAAAAAATGGCCCACCTCTGCTTTAAGTAATGTGGATATCCAGTTTGGTATCCATTTCCAGAAGAAAACAATAACTTCCTTCTCATTTCTCATGCAAAGACCCTTCCCACACTCATTTAGACTACAGATAGACCTCAATTTACAACACATTTGAGCCCCAAATTTCCATTGCTAAGCAAGACAATTGTTAAATGCATTTTTATAACATTTTTCATCACAGTTGTTAAATGAATCACTGCAGTTGTTAAATTAGTAACACTGTTCTTAATCTGGCTTCGCCATAGACTCTGTTTGTCAGATGGTCACAAAGGTGATCATATGACCTTGGGAAACTACAACCATCATAAATACATACCAGTTGCCAAGCATCCAAATTTTGATCATGTGACCATGAGGTTCGTCATCTGAAAAATGATCACGATGCCCTTTTTTTCAGTGCTGTTATAACTTCGAATGGTCATTAAATGAATGATTGTAAATTGAGGATTACTTGTGCAACCAGTATAGGAAGGCACCAAGGTGAAAAAAGACTGATAGGGCAATTCTATAATCACTGCTTTAGAAGTTTTGTGCATATGTTCTTGCATGGTACATCAGCAGATCTTAAAGATCTGGTTGTTGAATCTCTATTCTCTGTACAGATCGTAATATTCACCACTCTTTGATGAGGAAAACAATTGTCTTTCATAACTACATTCACTATACTTCATAATTGTGATTTTACAATCTGTGATAAAGTATTTCTGGATTCACCCAACTTTGCCTCTTTATGGAACCAGAAGTTTTTGAGCTGGATTGATGGGAATTCTGCATGCAGTTCAGACATCCCAAACTATTTTCAATCAACTGGAAAGTGGCACTGCCTAACCCCCACTGTGCCATACATGTGCGGTGGGATTATACTCCCTTAGAAACAAGAATCTTTTAAGAGTAAATTACAAAGCAGAAGAAAGCCTGGGGGACTTTGAATAGGGGTGTATCCCATTTATTCCATATGTGTGAAAAGTGGACATGGAACAAGATTATCCACAACCACCAAGTCAAGTCATCTTCATGTGTTACACCCATAAGCTTCCCTGATTGAAATCCCCATAAATTTCTTCCATCATTAATCAGCTTCTTTCATCTAGTACAGCTTGATTTCAAGTTGGGGTGCTTTTTTCTTTTCTTTCCAGCGCATTGATCCCTGCAGGAAAAGAAACAGAAGACAATCTCTAAATTCTGTATATAAAATAACTTTTAATACACATGGCAAAAATGTTATTTTCAAAAAGAAAGATCCGTTCCTGATGACGAGGCACTGACCTTTCAACTTTCAAATTGCTAGAATATGTTGAAAACATAATAAATTTGATAAGGAATGTCCCGTATATTCTAAACATAGAATCAAATTCACAACACGAGAAAACCTGACCTCCCCATGGAAAGCAGGCAAATTTCACATGACATTTCGGGAAAATATATTTTATATACCAATCATTTTCAAAAATGCTTCAGTAACATTTTTAACCGAAACCTTGTGTGGGATGAGTGTGTTTGTGCTCTGCATGTGTCCTTTTGAATTAAGCAAAGAGTGTTTTTCTATTCAGGTAGTGTCTCCCTTTAGAAAACAACCTTTTATTTCAATGTTTCCAAACCTAGGTGACTTCCAGATGTGCACACCAACATCAAATCCCAGGATGATCAGCAACTGCCATGCTTGATAGTGTATACAGGATTGTGTAGAAAGAGTGATGTAGAGGACACCAAGCCTTTGGCCTTAGATTAAACCAAAGATTAGGGATCCTTGGTGCTTTCTGAGCTTAGTTGTTTTCTTGCAGACATTTCATTACCCGAAGTAGTGCTAGTGAGGGAGATACAAACATTTTCCTTTACTGGTTCTAAAAGATTCTTCACCAAAGATTCTTCTGAAAGCTGAACAGCCATAGATGAAGAGGACAGGTCCTCATTGGCCAAGGGACAGGAAACAGAGAATAGGAAGGAGCTCCCTAAGGTGCTGTTTTTAGAAGCAGTAGTGGATTTTGTTGTTCTGCTTTGTAAAAGAGAAGGTTAAAGGCAGGTGTGACAAGAGTTTTACGGAACTGTAAAAATCAGAAAACAAGGCAAATGATTTAAAAAAATAAACTATTTTCTTGCTACGCTACCCTCTCTTTCTCAAAAAAAGAAAAATGTTTTTTTAATTAGAAGTTCTAAAATTTTATCCCCAATATGTTTCTTCCAGCTACATTTTTAAATTCTAGTTCAGACTCTGTGGGTATTCCATTTTGATTCCATAATTTCAACCTCTTGTTTGGCTGGAATCCATCTGCGATGTTACTCTAGAGCTGAATGTGATGATGGGATAAGATGAGGTGTCTTCCAAACCATCTGTTGCTTTAGACCCCAAATTCTTAAACTGGCCCTGATCTCAGCTGGTTGGGATTTGCACAATTAACAACATGTGTACCCGCTGCGATCATTGATGACAATTACACACGTACCATCCTTACAACTTGATTATTGCAAGGAGCTGTTTGGAGGAACTGTAGAACTGGTGAACGCAATCCTTTCTAAAAGCCTTTTGTTAAGTAAGGACTTCATACTGTTTTCTTTTCTTCCCTTGATTTCTGGCCTGGCAAACAGTTTGCTATATCCCAATGTCAAATATACCTTCTTTCCCACGCAGTTCCTTGCATTTATGTAAAACCCAGGTGCAGGTTTGTGTTTCAAAGAGATGGACACAACATGGCTGGTTTTTGCACTGTGCAAATTGAGATTCATTGTAGAGGACATCTGAGAATCCTCGCAGCACACAGGAATTCAGTGGCAAACATATGGGTGGTGACTTAGTAAAGGGGGGGGGGGAGAGAAATCAGTGCAGGAAAGGTCCCTGAGGGAAGTTTGTTGGAAAACCACCAGGGTAGATAATATGGCTTATATTTGCATGCCTGGTATCTGGCTTTCTTCTGCAAAAACTAAGCTATTTTTAGCATCCCAGTATTCTGCAAGCAAGGATTCTGTTTAGAGAGATATGCTCTGTAGATTAGATGTTTGCAGTAGAAGATGCAGGACCTGTCTAGGAACTTTAGAAGGTTGGAATAGCAATGGCAGAGGATCACAGCACAGGAATGGCAGAGGATCACAGCATAGGATATACAACAGTGGTGGGATTTTTGCAGCCACCCCCCACCCATTTTGGGGGCCTTCTGGGCTTCAGGGGAGCCTCTGGGGGGCGTTTTTGCTCCCCTAAGGCTCCTCTACAGCTCAGGTAGAAAAAAAACAGAGCATAGGAGAGGCATGCAGCACCCCTCCAAGCCCCATTTGGGGAGCGCCGGGCCGCCGGGGGGGCGGGGGGGGGGGGGGGGGCGTTTTTGCTCCCATAAGGCTCCTCTGAGGCTCAGGAAGGCAAAAAAATGGAGGAGGAGGCCTGAGCCATTTTTTGCCTTCCTGGGCCTCAGCAAGGGGAATCCTGGCACAGCTGATCGCATGTACAGCTGATTGTCGGGAGGGGGAAAAAAAGAAAGAAATACCTGAGGTGAACGTCAGGCGGACGGGGTGAAGCGAGCATCAGGTGGGACGGTGAGTGGGTCAGGGGCGTGGCCAGCCAGAACTTACTACCGGTTTGGCGACCCATGCCAAATTCTTGCTACCGGTCACCTGATCTGGTGCGAACCAGCTGAATACCACCACTGATATACAGTACTCATACCAAGTTTCTATAGGGAGAATTCAACTTAAAACCATTCATTTAGCCACTGCTTGAAATTACAATGGCCCTGAAAAAAGTGATTTACGACTAGTTTTTGCACTTATGATGGTTACAACATCCCCACAATAAAAATTCAGGTGCTTCACAACCAGCACTTATTTATGACAGAGTCATATGATTGCTATTTGTGACCTTCCCAGCTGGCTCCTGGGGGAAACCAGATTTGCTTAAGAAGGGGTCATGACTCGTTAAACATCTGCAGTGATTCATTTAACAACTGTGGCAAAAATGTCATAAAATTGGGCATGACTCACTTTGTTTAGCAACCACAGTTCTGGTCCCAACTAAGTCAAGGACTACATACACATCTCTACAGTGAGATATTGCTAAGCTTTGCTAGACGCTTGAGCTATAATCATGACCATCATTTGCCATGATCAACCATCCTTCCCTTTATAAAAATGCCATTAACTGCATTTGTTGGTACTGATTTCTGGAAAGCAAACACAGGGGTTGCTGCACCAAACAAGAATGTCAAATTATCTGGAGCCGAATGCCAGCCTTTCCAAACCTGGGGCCAATCTATATCATTTCAGATTACTGCTGAAACAAACTCTTGTATGAAAAACAAACATTGTACTTGTCCACAGAACTTTCATGGGAACATGCAACTAAAAAAAATGATAAAATGAATAGCAAGTAACAAAGTTAAGAAGAATTTGTTATGCAAGGCTTATGTTCAACATATTTAAAAATGACTTGGATGTGGATTTAGAAAATATGATATGCAAACGTGAAGATGACAGGAACATTGGGAGATGGCAAAGACTTCAGAAGACATCATCAGGGTCAGAAGAATCTTGACAAGCTGAAACATTGGCAGAAACCAGGAAGATGGATTTCAACAGCAACAAATGCTAAATGCTACTTGGGGTAGGAAAAAGGCAACAGATGTGGGATAGAACCTTCCTGCACATGCAAACAGGATGCGAGTGTATCATAAACTGAACATGAGCCAACAATATGATGCAGCCTAGAATGGCATCCACTTTTTTTTATAGCTGCAGTCAAGATCAATAAACATTACCATTCCTCTATGTCCTGCACTATTTAAACCACACCTAGAGTATTGTGTCCAATTCTGGGCACTGTGTTTTAGAAAGATCATTAGCAAAGTGGACCATGTCCAGAGAAGAAGAACCAGGAAAGGTAAGGGACCTGGAAGGAATGGTTTGAGGGTCTGAGTATATTTAACTTAGAAGAAAACTTTGGAAGACAAGATAACATGTTCAAGTACCTGAAGTGACATCATGGAAAAGCCAGGGCAGAATTGTAGAGTTGTTCCAGAAAAGAAATTGGATTTCAATTACAAGGAAGTAGGTTTTGTTTGGACATCAGGATGAACTTCCTAACAAATGAGAGTTGTTCACAGAATATCATAGAATATCAGAGTTGGAGACTTTCTAATCCAACTCCTTGCTCAAGCAGGAGGCCCTAAACCATTTCAGACAGGTGGCTGTCCAGTCTCTTCTTAAAAACCTCCAGTGATGGGAGTACACACAACTTCTGAAGGCAAGCCATTTTACTGGTTGATTGTTAGTTCTAGTTGAATAAGGGACCAGCCTGCTTCAGGAAATGGTGAATCTCCCTCACTGAAGGGATTTAAATGATCTCTTGGATGCTGTAAGTAGTGGGATTCCACTCTGGGCAACAAGATAAACTAGGTTGTCTTCCAGGTACCTTGCAATGTTTATATTGTGCGATTCTACAATTTAGGATTGCATGAATAGTCCTGGATACAAAACAGGTCAGGTAGGTCTGCTCCAATGGATTTTCTTTCTGAATATTTCATGATTTAAGAGATAGTGCCTGTTTAAAATGAATCAGAGTAAAGAGAATAAAATTGCACCAGACTGTATTAAGCATTTCAAATCTCTTCTCTGCCATGGATGTTTACTGAACAGATATCTTAACATAATTCAGGAACCAATGACTACATTCATACATAATGCTTTTCCAGGTTTTTTTAATCACTTTGTCGAGCAAATTAATATTGCCTGGTGGACCTATAACCAACCTTAAACCTTATGAATTTGAACATAATGCTAAGTCCAGTACAAACAAATCATACATTAAGGCTTCATGTTATATGTGAACAAGAGGCAAACAGAAGAAAGTATGATGTTGCCCTATATGCCATGACATCATCAAACAAATGGCATGAATTATGTAATTTGTGCCAGCTGCATTATGTAAAGACAGAGTTTAGGACTGGCATAATTTCAGATCAGATCAAAGCCCCAGAATTTGTTTATTAATAAACATGTCTACCATGTAGAGAAGTTGATGTGAAAAATCTTCCTTTAAGCGTAATCTTTTCTCTGACATCTAGTTTCAATGTTCAAAGACATGTTCTGTACATAAGAATCATAATTTATATTCCTTTACTTGCAGTATGACATACAGCATAGCAAGCAAAATGACAGTGGCTTTGCAGTTACATCTCAATTTGCCCTTGATTTTTCATAGATGAAAAAGACCAAACAGAATATTACAGCTCGTATGTAATTGGTAGCTCTCCCCACATATATATATATATATATATACCAACAAACAAACAAGAACCCAATCTCACATCACCAGATAAGGAGATCAAAAGTTTGGGGTTATGTTAATATTATCACAACTGACATTCTAAAGACATTGTTTGAATAAGAAAAGAGTTAGCTGTTTAACAAAAGAGCTTGTTTGACAGTCAGCTGTCAAGGTTTAAAAGAGGTCCATTATATGATTGTTCCTTGCATTAAATTCTGGATTAAAATTACATTTAAATTTCACTTCCTTTACTTCATCCTGGTTTTGATTATCTTTAAGAATAGTTGATGGTCTTGTGAGTTGGACCTTTTAAAAATTGTAATATTTTGTGTACATGGACTGGAATTTTATATGAAATTGTGGGTTTGATCTTTGACCTCTGTTTACTATAATACTGATTTCTCTCTAATTTGATAGCATGGAGTCCCTACTAGTACAGTGGTTTATTGTAAACAAGCTGCTCACTTTACATAGCTATGTTTGGTGAGCTCTTAAGTGAAGAAGTATGCATGGTGTATACTTTGGATGTTGTAGTATACTATAGGAATAATAAAACCCACATAATAACTGTTCAGCTTCACAGGTACTATACACATTTGAAAAAAGTGATTGCATGCCTATTACGGGGGGAAAAACCCCAAAGTTCAGTGGGAGGTTACCTCCATACAACTCTACACAGAACTGTGGTTTTACCCAGGAGAATTTTATATTTTATTTTAGAGCCAGCTTGGTCTAGTGGTTAAAGCACCAGGGTAGAAACTGTGAGTTCTAGTCCCGCCTTAGGCCTCAAAGTTGGCTGAGAGACTTTGGCTGGTCACTATCTCTCAGCACAACTCAATCCACAGGAGTGTTGTTGGGAGGGAAATAGGAGGAGGAAGGAATATTAGGTATGTTCGCTGTCTTGAGTTATTTATAAAAACAATAAATAAAATATATAAATGTACCCCAATTAATTTGATGGGGACATCTCCCAGATAAATATATCCAGATTACAGGTTTAATCATCATTTGATGTTTTATTGCTTTTCATTATTCAGAATGTGAAAAATCTATAATTTCCTCATTTTATTACCAACCCTAATCTCTGTCACAATAGATTCATCATTCAAGACATGAAGAGAATGTGTTTCAAATATGTTGGACAAATGCAGAGAACACAAACATGGGAAAAAAATGGCTGTTGTGATACTATTGTGGATTTTTGCTGTCTCTTCTCATTTATTGATTGTAAACCTTTTTGTAAGGTAATGCAAAATAGATTCCATTTACAAATGAGGCTGTCTTGATTGGTTTGCAATTTGACACAGCTTTACACAGTTTAGACAGCAAATAGCTATAATATTTGTGTGAGGAATTTTTCTACTTTTCCTATTTGTAACCTCTGCAGCAGTAATACAATATGAACCATGAAGAATCTAACCAAACAGGTATTTCAAATTGATATATATTGACAGAGTCTAAATGAGTCCTTTTTTTGGTTTGCTCTGAATCATCTTTTACTTTTTTTAAAAAAAATCAACTTTTAAAATAAGTTTACTCCAATTTCCATTCTACTCTCCAGCCATCACATTTTTTTGCATTTATTACATGCATTCAGGTATTCATGGGAGAAAGCCCTTGCTATCCCATGCATAGCTCTACTGCTTAAATCATTCCACATCGATGCATTTCCTTGCATTTGCTCTCTTTCCTCCTACTTCCCCTTCTAATTATGGTTATAAATATTTCTCAGTAGTAATACAAGTGCTTCCTGCCAAAGGAGCCATGAGTTTTTTCTCACAGTCAATGAGCTGAGATGCATTAAAAGAGACTGCCGCTATTATTATGGCTGGATGGCTTGTGTTTCTGGGACTCTTGCCCAGTAATAATAACCGAGCCTGGAGGAGAGCAAAGATTGGCTGCCAATCTCATTATTCAATCAAAGAGTTTTGCCTGGCAATAGGGTCTCCCTGTGCCCCAATGTAAGCAAAGGGGAGCCACTTTGTGGCCATGGGATGTGGGCAGTATTAAAACACCTCAAAGAAATGGCATTCTTTTCTAAATATTACTGGCATTTTTTCTCTAAACCTTATTCCCTATAATTGTTCTCTAATTAAAGCAAATTTCGTAATGACAGAACTACCTCTTCCATTCTGCAGGCCCACCACTATTTATTAAGCATCTGCTCCTATCTTCCTTGACCAAAGGCCAATGGACAATGCTGTCTAAAGAAATTCCATATGTAGCCATTCAGGGATTCCTATTGTATCAAGTCTTCTTGGATTATATGACACCAAGACCTGATTTGATCGTAGTTTTATGAACCGTGGGCTGGCTTTGAACAACTCACCCTATCTTCTATAACTGTGTCAGCAATTCTTCACTCTCCTCCCACAGGGTAGGAGATAAAGAAGCATAGCCAGCCACACCAACAGGCTGAAGAACAGTTTCTACCCGTGGGTTGTCAGACTTCTGAACAGAAAATAACTTCATGTCAACATAGTATGACAGACTTGCAGGGCTGTTGCGTTGTGCAACAAGGTCACATAGTGTAATAAGATTGGGTCTAAGTTAGGGACTTCTGTCCTCACAGTGAGTTGTATACATGTTGTACTCTGACAATAAAGGTAATAATAAAAACATATTATACTAAACAGGAATGATCACAGTGCTGCTGAAATGAATGTTAAGAGGAATGTGAGGTTCTGCTTTACTTATATGACCCTAATATACTGTTCATCAAAAGATTCCCCAAAGGAAGGAGTAAGGAACTGGGGCAGGCAGTTCCACAGCCTATCTGACCACTGGCAAATTCTGAATGAGTGGCTGAGGCAGTGTTGGGGTCCCATATGTAGATCCCATATAAGATAGAAATCACTGCAATGCAGACGCATCACACTTGCTTTAACACCCAGTGCCCACAAACACGTCATTGTGTTGACCAATCTCCCAACTTGCTTCAAAATACGGTGCCGTACCATGGCAAGCTCGTGGAAGAGCAGAATACATAAAGCTGCACTTGAAGTATGTCAGCTGCAGGTTAGAACACATTTCCTAACCTCGGCTATTTTAAGACACATAGGCTTTAACTCCCAGAGGCCACGTACGTTGAACCAATTTGTATCTGAAGGTGTCCCCATTTTTCCAACCTGTGTTTGCAGCACTGCTTCCCTTTTAAAGGGCTCTGGCAGGAAAGCATATAACCCCCTTGGGACCACCACATTACAGCTATCTGAAATGAACCACTCCAATCCTTCAGCAGCTTGCTTTCAGCAATACCCACCAGGAAAGGGTTACATTTAAGGTCTTTCTAGCATGGATCTTTTTTGGAGACGCTTGCAGGACAAGACCAAGTGAGGGTACTAATACCACTCTATAAAGCCTTAGTAAGACCACACCTAGAGTACGGCATCCAATTTTGTTCACCACATTCTAAAAAAGATGTCGAGACTCCAGAAAAAGTGCAGAAAAGAGCAACCAGGACGATTAAGGGACTGGAGGCTAAAACATACAATGAATAGTTGTAGGAACTGGGCTTGGCTAATCTAGGGAAGAGAAGGACCAGGGGAGACATGATAGCAGTCTTCCAATATTTGAGGGGCTGCCACAGAGAGGAAGGGGTCAAGCTATTTTCTAAAGCGCCTATAGGCCAGACAAGGAATAATGGATGGAGACTGAACAAGGAGAAATTCAACCTGGAAATAGAAATTTTCTGACAGTGAGAGCAATCAACTAATGGAACAGTTTGCCTTCAGAAGCGGTGGGAGCTTCATCACCGGAAGCCTTCAAGAAGAGACTGGACTGCCATCTCTCAAAAGTGGTGTAGGGTCTGCTTGAGGGGTTGGACTAGATGACCAAAAGGTCCCTTCCAACTCTGTTAATTTGTATCTGTACCTACCTATTTATCAGAAGTCAGACAGGTTTATCCTATGTAACTATTCAAAGATTAGTAAAGTTCACCTGCCAAAACAAACATTTTCTGCTGCAGCAAAGCGTCTCGCCTCGCTTTGCTGGCATTCTTCTGCTTTCTTCCCGATTCGCGGCCCCTTCCAGTTCCTGATTCTCTTTTGGGTCAACCCCACCCCATGTACAAACACCTGTTGTGAAAACATCCGGCCCACGGAGGCAAGAGCCCTTCCTTTCGCCAAGCGCTCCGGCCCCAGGAAGTTCACCTGGGCTTAAAAACCGGTTTCTTCGGCTCCCGGCGTCGCTTGAGGCGTTCCTGTAGCGGAAGAGCCCGGAGAAGCGGAGGCGAAGTAGAGATTATGGGATCGTCTCCCTTACCCCAAAACATCACTTTGGGAGGGAGGGCGAGCAGGCGCGAGTTTCTTTCCCAAGGCTGGTATTTTGCAAATGAACAGGTAAGGAGAAGAGAGGCTGGTACCGACGGCTTCTTCTCGCCCTCTCTAAGGGACTAGCTTGGAGGAGCGTTTCTCAACCCCAGCAACTTTATGAGAGGTGGACTTCAACTCCTAGAATTCCCCAGGCAGCATACTGGGGAACCTGCTGGCTGGAGAAATCTGGGAGACTGGACTGGAGCCATCCCATATTTTGAAGCCCACCCTCCTTAAAGTAGCCGAGGTTGAGAAACATTGCTTAGAACAGGGGTCCCCAAACTTGGCAACTTTAAGACTTGAGGACTTCAACTTCCAGAATTCTCCAGCCAGCTGGCTGGAGAATTCTGGGAGTTGAAGTCCACAAGTCTTAAAGTTGCCAGTTTGGAGATCTCTGGCTTAGGATCTACTCTGAAGTAAGGTCCATTAAAGTCCTCCGAGGTTTCTTCAAGTAAGGTGAGAACAGCCTCGGCAGAGGACAGTGTCTAAGCCAAATGCGCTCCGCTTGGAACAGGTCTAGAGTCGCCCTGGTCCAAGAAAGTCAGGATAAGCTATAAAGCTGCTGGAAACTGCACGGATGGGGGGGACACCAAGAATCTGCTCCCTGGAAGGATTCTCCGTTTCTAAATAAGGTTCTTACCCATTGCTGCACTGCAGGAATCTTAGACTGGGGATTAAAATGGGGGTAATTTTACACTGCGCTGGCGTATCTCTTCAGATCACATTTTCTCCTTTTGTGATTTAGGACCATTGCTATGTGCTCAAATAAACACAGTATAATTTTTTTTACCAATCAGATCCTCTTCTTCGTTCCACCTCCCCATCCCATATTTTGAACATGTCTGGGTTTTAATTTCAAATTTGAATCCAGGCACCATTATAATTAAAGGAATAGAAAGGAGTTTGCTTCTGTTGCTAAGCTTGTCTATTGGGGATTAAGCATCACCCTTTGTAGAAAAAGTCAACATTCATACATCAATAACAAATTAAAAGTGATACATAACATGACAATTTACTGACATGCTTTTCAATCCAAATTTGCTGAAAATCCTAAAGGTAAACAGTGAATTCTTTTGGGAGGTCCTTGAATTGGAGAATGTCAATTTTTAATCAACAACTGGGTAAATCATCACAGGGAAAATCTGTTTATTGTTTTAGCATTCCAGTTTAAGCATGGTTTTAAACATTATTTTTTAAGTATGAGCTTTGGTGTTAATGAACAATTGTCATTTTAATGAAGGATAAGACACATCTTTAATGCTTGCTAATACTATAACTGGATTTAAATTTTCCAAAATGTCTTCCATAGCAAACTTTACTCTTCCATAGTATTGGAAAAGACCTTTTAGGGAACTGAATGTAAACTTCTGCTGTTTATTGTTTTAACATTCCAGTTTAAGCATGGTTTTAAAAATTACTTTTATTATGTTCCATTGTAATGATTGTCTTCAAGTGCGGAATGGAGGGAGGTGGGTTTGTTGTTACTGCATCTGTTGAGATTCAGTCATTTTGTGGATGCTGCATCAGTGGGGGGTTTTAAGAAGAGATTGGATTTCCATTTGTCTGAAATGGCATAGGGTGTCCTGCTAGAGCAGGGATTGGACTAAAACAGTGGTCGCCAACTAGTGGGCTGGAGATCACTGGTGGTCCACGAGAAAATTTTGGTGGTCCTCAGAGAAATGTCACCCCCAAAGCACCCCCCAAAGCAACTAATCCAGGCTGCGCAGGAACACAAGGCTTTGCTGCCCACTTGGCCCACAGGAACACAAGGCTTGCATCCCTTGCATTGTGAACAACACAAGGTAGTGAGGGGAGAGGGGAAAGGGTGGAGGGGGGTAAACTTGCCTCACATGCCTCACCTGGCCACCAGGCTGCTTCTTTCCACTTCTTTCTTCTTCTGCTTTTGGCTGCACACAAGAAAAGCAGCAAAAGTCTTTCTTTCTCTCCCCCAAACTCCGCCAGTTTTGGGGGCCCTGCAAGGCATCTGCTCCAAGAGGCTGTGCCTGTGTGATAAGTCTCACAAAGACTCATTTCTGGTGGAGTTTGGGGGAGAGAAAGTAAGACTTCTGCTGCTTCTGCTGCTTTCCTTGCATGAAACCAAAAGTCTCTCTCTCTCTGTCCCCGTGAGAATGGAGCTGGAGACGGTATCCTGCAATCACAAATAAAGAATGATCGATCGGTAGGAAAACGGGATGAGGAATTTTCCTGCAGACTTTTTGGGGGATTTTCCCAGGTCCGCGGGATTTAAAATTATGAGTTTGGTGGTCCCTGAGGTCCAAAAGGTTGGCGACCCCCTGATCTAGAAGACCTCCCAGGTTCCTTCCAACTGTGTTATTCTATATTCTATATTTCTGATGGTCTAGAGAAGGCTGTTCAATGTCCACTTATCTTTTGTGCTGTTAACAGAATCTGATGATTATGGTTCATATTCCTTATCCAATTCTTATTCCTGTTTTGCATCATGGAAGTAAGAGCCGATCTTTCTCTTTTGAAAATTCAGTGTTATTTCAGAAGAGGTTAAGCAGTTCTTAAAACAATTTATAGAAGTTTTTATCTACAATAATGTAACTGTGAATTTTGCTGCTTGGTCTTCTGGGGACTTTAGGCAGCGGCCTCCAGCCTTTTTGGGCACCAGGGATCAGTTGCATGAAGAAAGATTTTGCCCTGGACCAGAGGGCACTGCCTGCACCCCATGGATGGGGCTTTACTTGTTTGCATAGCCCAGTTCCTGACATGCTGCAGACCAGTACCAGTCCATGGGTTGGAGGCTGGAGACCCCTGCCTTCAGGCACATTAAAAAAAAACCAATCTATACTGTATAAAAGCTAAAGCTAAAGGTTCCCCTCGCACATATGTGCTAGTTGTTTCCGGCTCTAGGGGTTGGTGCTCATCTCCGTTACAAAGCCAAAGAGCCAGTGCTGTCCGAGGTCATCTTTGTGGTCATATGGCCAGCATGACTAAATGCCAAAGGTGCACGGAACGCTGTTACCTTCCCACCAAAGTGGTCCCCATTTTTCTGCTTGCATTTTTTACATGCTTTCAAACTGCTAGGTTGGCAAAAGCTGGGACAAGTAACGGGAGCTCACTCCGTTACACAGCGCTAGGGATTCGAACTGCCGACCTTTCTGATCAACAAGCTCAGCATCTTAGCCAATGAGCCACTGTGTCCCTACTATACTCCATATTAACCATTTTTACCTGTTTACCTCTTTCCCTTATCTTAACTTACTGCGCCTGTGTATGATTTGCCAATTGTACAGTGGCAGATAGGAAAGCACTCCAGAGGGTTAACGTCATTGCCCAAAAGATCATTGGATGCCCTCTCCCTCTTTGGAAGAGCTTTATAGCCTTAAGAAAGTTTAAAACATCCTCAAAGATGGTGTTTGATTTCATTGCAATGACAATAAAGTAAACTAACTAACTTTTTTTTAAAAAAATCTATTGGTTTTTAAGACGAACTTAGACAAACAAAACATAAAAACATCAAGCCATCTTCCATATATATACATACAGTGTGCCGATTGGTTTACAAATTGTTTTGTGCTTCCATTTCGTAGTCTTCAATTACAATTACATTGCATATATTCTCATATTTTCAATCAAGTATTAAATACATTAATATTGTTAATCAATCATTTGACTATACTTTTATTCATTCACATTTTACGAAATAATCATATTTTACTTAATTTGTTTTATGACAGTTCATATTATCATCTCATATCTATCCTACAATCATTTTGTAGATATAATAAGAAAAGAATACATCTTTATATATTTATTATTTTCTAAGAATCTACATATTTCATTACCATGTTTTATTGTCTAACCATTGATAGAATAGATCCCAAATTTTATAAAATTGTTTATCATCTTGTTCTCTGATTTCAAATGTCAATCTACTCATTTCAGCACATTCCAACATTTTCTTAATGATTATTTCCTCCTGTGATGGTATTTTCTCATTTTTCCAGTTTTTAGCAAATACAATCCTAGCCGCTGTTAATACATTTACAATCAGGTATTTCAAGTCTTTACTATATATTTCAGGTAAAATTCCCAATAAAAATATCTCTGGTTTCAAATCTATATGCTTTTTTGTCATTTTTTCTAACCACGTTTGGATTTTAGTCCAGTATTTTTTAGCATCCGCACAAGTTCACCACATATGGTAATATGAGCCAGGTGTCTGATGACATTTCCAACATTTTTCAGATTTGTTCTTGAACATTCTTTCTATTCTTGTCGGGGGGGAAATGCCACCTGTAAAACATCTTATACAAATTTTCTTTATATGCTGTTGACATTGTCATTTTATAATTTTGAGACCACAATTTTTGCCATTTCTCTAGATCAATCCCATATCCAAAATTCTTCCCCCAAGCAATCATTGTTTCTTTAACTTGTTCTTCTTCTAGTTTAATTTCTAATAAATATCCATACAATTTTTAATCACCTTTTCATCAGTACCTGTCAAAATCTTATCTAAGTCAGTCAGTTTATCATAGAAACCTTCTGTTTTAGAGTCTTTATCATACCTTGAATGTATTTGTGCATATGAAAACCAATTCATCTTTATACCTTGTTCCTCTAATTTTTGTATAGATTTAAGTTCACCCTTTTCATTCAATATTTCACCATATCTAACTGTTTGTTCCTTTTTATATATTATAGGATAAGAAAATGCTTCAATAGTCGATAGCCAGACTGGAATTTTCAAATAACATTGTCTTTTAGTCTTCTCCCAGTTTAACCACAGAGACTCCCATATATAATGTCTTCTAAAATACCCCTGTGTTTTAGTTCCTTTATACCATAGAAAAGCATGCCACCCCAACAACAGATCATGTCCTTCTAATGTCAACAATCTAGTATTTCTTAATGTTATCCATTCCTTAACCCACATCAAATTTGTAACTTGGTAATACAACTCCCAATTAGGCAAACCAAACCCTCCTCTTATTCTAGCATCTTGCAAAAGTTTTAACTTTATTCCCGCTTTCTTACCTTGCCATATATATTTTAAC